AAACGGTGCTGTGGCTGCTGGCTCCACCCACTTTAGCTTCCCAACATGGCGGTGGTACGTTTTCTGCCAGCTCTGGGAGCCATCAACTCTCAGAAATAGTAGGTCTATGATTTTATCAAAGCAGCATGTAGCCCAGAAACCTCTTTTTTTGTTTTGTACTAGGAAAGGCTAAATCCACCACGCAGCTTAATGTGCCACTTGCAGAGGTCACATTTTTGCCATCTGGCAGGTCGGTCGAACACGCACACCAGGAACCTGCCATAGTAGCTCAAACACGCAGGCTGCCGCTAACTTGAGAGAGACAACTAGGAACTGTTTTTAGCTCCGTTTTAGAATCTTTTTACTCAGGTTTTAGGTGGAAACTCTTGCCCCACGTTGGGCGCCAAAGACACCCTACTTCAATACAATCCAGGAAGATACCTGACATCCACTCTAGTCTTCACATCCATGAGCACACAAATGCAAGCGCGCCCAAACACACCAAGTACCCACACATACGTGAGCATGCATTCACATGGATGCATACCACACCACACCCAAAATCCGAGCGAGTTTTGCATTTTACTCCGGCTTGTGCCTGTATTTGTTGCTTTAATATGAAAAAGCAGCACCCCTCCCTTCCCAATCACTGAGTGAAACAGGGAGAAGTAGCCCATGTGTTCCACAGCTTCTGGTAATAATGGCTAATAATAGCTCCACTCACTGAGGTGTAACTTCATGCCCAGTTCTGTGCTTTGTATAGATTGTCCAGAACCTGCCAGGTCGGAGGTGAGAATGTCTGATGTTAAATGCTGATCTCACCACCACTAGACAACACTGAACTGTGTGTCCAGTGTCCTAGTTGTGTGCCCAGGGTTCTGCCTGGCAACAGCCCTGGAGTTTGCTAATGTGTCACGTGGGGAGAAACAAAAAGGCCTGCCATTTCTAAACCTCCCTTTGGTGAGTTTCCTACGCCCCCACATGCACCTCGTGCATTGAAGCCAGGAATGGGAAGAGGTCTTCAGACTGCTGATGCCCACATAGCCTCCCCGCAACCCCTCATCACCCCCTCCTCCATTTGAGCTGCATTGGACCCACTGTGGAGCCTGAGCCTCTGAAAGTCCCTTACCACCTTTTAGTGCCTCTCAGGGATTTCACCAGATCCCAGATGCTCCCAAGCCTTGAGGGGTGACTCCTTTCTGGGCCCTGAACTGCAGCTACATGGTGTGGCTCACAACCATCTGTAACTCTAGTTCCAGGGGATCCGACACCCTCTTCTGGCTTCTGCAGGCACTGCACCCATGTGGTACACAGATTCAGGCAAAACATCCTTACATATAAAATGAAAATGCATCTCTAAAAAAGTGGGGAGGGCAGGCGGTGGTGGCGCACGCCTTTAATCCCAGCACTCAGGAGGCAGAGGCAGGAGGATCTCTGTGAGTTCAAGGCCAGCCTGGGGCACAGAGTGAGTTTCAGAGCCATCAGGGCTATAGAGAGAGGCCCTGTCTTTAAAAAAATAAAAAAAGATTTACTAGGCAGCCTTAGGGAATTCGTGGAGGGCCCTGACTAGGGAAAGTGGGACTGCACGTCACCCAGGGGTATCTGGGTCACTGCACTCAAGAAAATCCTGAAGTAGAGGCTGAGGAGATAGCGCAGCAGATGCAGGGAGTGCTGTGCAGGTGTAAGGATTCCCACAACCAGTTAAAATCTGGGCAGGCTTGGGGGCAGCCTGTTACACCCCAAGTCAGAGACTAATACCAAGGATGCCCGGGCAAGCTGGCAGGCCGGACCAGCTAGAATCAGCGAGCAAGAAAACCGCTTGAGAAATAAGTGAGGAGTGATTTCGGAAGACTCCTGGTGTCACCTTCCATGCTGCAAATGCATGTACGTATGCACCCATGCACCCATGCACACTGCACAAAATCTTGAAGTGCCAACTTCCTGACCCCTTGTGCTGTTGTTTTGGTTTTTGTTTGCAAGACAGGGTCTCACTATAGAGCTCTGGCTATGCTGGCACTCACTATGTAGACTAGGCTGGCCTTGAACTCACAGAGGCCTACCTCTGTCTCCTGAGTGCTGAGAGCTGGAATTAAAGGCGTGTGCCACTATACCCAGCTTCTGGAGCCTTTTAGATCCACAGAAGTCTGGCCTCCTCTCCCTTGCTTCTCCCCCAGTTTCTAGATTCTGTTCCATCTCTCTTCTTTGCACGGGTCCATCACCAGCTTTAAATCCCAAGGGAAGGAAGAGACTCCACTCTGAGAGCTCAGACAGTGTCTGCAGACCAGGAGGAGACTGGGCCTGAAGGATGCTGGGTAAGGACTGTATGTGGGTCCTGGAGTACTTTCAGTGCATTACAGGGCTTATTACCCCAACAGGGACCCCAGAAGTTGTATGAACCTACTTCTAAAGTGGCTCTTGGAAGCTTGGAAAAAGTAATCCAGAACATTCCATACCCATCTGGCCCTCTTGCTCACAACTCCCTTGACTAAAGAAATCTGCTTCACACAGGGTAGGTCCAGCACAAAAAGGCCTGGCCTGACCTTGAGTTCCCAGTGCTTCTAGCCCCAGAGTCCTGTGTGTCTTGTCTGTCCCCTCTCCTCTCCCTCTCCAGGAGACCCAGCAAGTCATCATTGCCCTGATGCACTTCCTGTGATGTCCAGCAGGGGGAGCTCCCAAGAGTGTCCCGCTACATCGGCAGCATCTGCTTCTCAGCTCAGGGCTATTCCATTTCCCTAGGAAGCTGCCGGCGGCACAAAGGTGAAGAAAATAACTCAAAATGATACAGTGCGGGATCGGCAAGGCCGACTTCAAGTGAGGATACACAGAGTGGAGCAGGTGTGGCCCCTCACTAGAAGCTTTCTTAGCCAGGGGACCTGTGTCCTGCCACAGGTCTGGGCAGATAGTCACTGCTGTTGCAGCAGTGAGCTCCCCAATTGCTTCAGGCCTCAGGCCTAGAGACAGGGTGGGACTGTTACAGACCCCGGCTGTGTTAGTGAGTCACCGTGCCTTTGGCCAATGGCCACCCCCCACCACCTCTGCCTGCTACCCCTCTGTACTTAGCCTCGACACCATCCCTCTCTCTAGAGAGGAGTCTTTGATTTATCACAGAGAAAGAGAGGGTGCAAACGTGTTTGCATGTTGTGTATGTGTACATGTGCCCAAGGGTGATGCGAAGAATTATTCTCCATCACTCTTCTACACTATTCATTGAGTCAGGGTCTCTCAATCAAACCCAGAGCTTGCTAAGATGGCTAGTTTTGCTAGCCAGCTTGCTCCAGAGATCCCTGGTCTCTGCCTTCTGCGGTGAGAATTACAGGCCGACTGTCATGCCCACCCAACATTTACCTGGCTTCAGGGGATAAACTTCCGGCTTCGTGCTTGGGTGGCAAGAACTTTAAACCACAGATTGATGTCCCCACTCCTTCTGTTTAGGGTCATCAGAGTCAAGTTTAGTGTGGTTGTTTCCTGTAACCCCAGCACTCAGAAGGCTGAAGCAGGATGGTCACAGTAAGCTTGAGCCTAGCCTGGGCTGCAGTGTGAGACTAAATTCCAGGCCAGTCTAGGCTTCAGTGTGAGACCACACACACACACACACACACACACACACACACACACACACACACACACACACACACCAAGTGGGGCAGGGGGCATCAGGAGCGACATTGTTAGCAGAATCTGAGATCTGTTCCTCATTCTTGGTGGCATTTGATGGTGTTGTCTGCTGTGTCCTTTGGATTCTGATTGGAACATGTCCTGATTGTCCTCACCTCATGACCTCACCATTCTTCCTATTAATAGCTCTTCCCCAACAAGGCACAGCCCCAAATCCCAGCCCTCAGCATACCTAACATACTCTCCCACTGTGCATCTGTTCTTTCACTTAGCATATTTCCGGGTTCATCAGAGGTAGAACTTGCATCTTCATTCTTCTTAATGGCCGAGTAGCATCCCATCATACGCACACTTTGTTTAGTCACACGACCCTGCAAGGAGACATTAATTTTCTGTTTTGCTTGTTTGTTTGTTTTGTTTTTCGAGACAGAGTTTCTTTGTGTAACAGTCTTGGCTGTCCTGGAACTAGCTCTGTAGACCAAGCTGGCCTTGAACTCAGAGATCCTCCTGCCTCTGCCTGCTGTGGATATTGTTCTGTATAAATAAAACACTGATTGGCCAGTGGCCAGGCAGGAAGTATAGGCAGGACAAGGAGAGAGGAGAATTCTGGGAAGCGGAAGGCTGAAGGAGACACTGCCAGCCGCCGCCATGACAAGAAGCATGTGAAGAGGCCGGTAAGCCACGAGCCACGTGGCAAGGTATAGATTTATAGAAATGGATTAATTTAAGCTATAAGAACAGTTAGCAAGAATCCTGTCATGGCCATACAGTTTGTAAGCAATATAAGTCTCTGTGTTTACTTGGTTGGGTCTGAGCGGCTGTGGGACTGGCGGGTGACAGAGTTTGTCCTGACTGTGGGCCAAGCAGGAAAACTCTAGCTACATCTGCCTCCCGAGTGCTAGGATTAAAGGTGTGTGCCACCATGGCCTAGCAACATTAACTTTCTTAAAGGCTTTATTACTTGTGGCAGTTTTCAGGTCACAGCAAAACTGAATAGAAAGCACTCCAATTCCTCCTCACTCCCTCCAATCTCTCTCAGTACAGTATTCCCCACTAGAGTGGCCCATATGTCATAATCCTCAGGCAGGAGCACACCATCATCCAGCGACATATTAGTAATCACTCTTGTTACACCTTCTATGAGTTTGGACACACACAGGATGGAATTATGATGTTACACAAGTTGTCTCCCACCCCTAGACATCCTCTGTGCTCTGGGGCATCAGCCTTTAAAGGACAGACAGGAGAGGAATCTGGGTTGAGAACATAGCTCAGAGGTACAGGGTTTGCCTAGCATGCTTGAGGCCTTGTTTTCAATTTCCAGCAGGAGGGAAGAGGCAGAGGAAGGAAGGGAAGGAGGCAGGGAGGCAGGGAGGGAGGGAGGGAGGGAAGGAAAAAGGCAGGCAGGCAGGCAGGCTGGAATTACAGACAGGCTGTGAGGAAGACCAGGAGAGGATGAAGTTGCAATAGAGAGATGTGGTCAGCACAGCCCAAGGCCCTGCAGACTGGATGTCCTGGAAAGAGGATAGATAGCCTTCCCTAAGCCAGCAATCCTCATGTATTCTCAAAGGCATCCTGGTTGGAGGAGTCAGTTTATAGTCCTATCCTATAGTGCTTCTCCCTGTGGGAACTAGGGAGGAGCCATTGGATTTAGCCAGTGAGGAGCTGGTTGGGGCTGGTGGGCGGAGTATCAGTCATTATCCAAGGCTGTGATGAAGTGCCTTGTGCTGGGTACTTTACAAGGCAATATAGTTTTGGAGGATGAAAGTCCAAGATCTCAGAGCCCCATGTACTCAGTTTCTGGAAAGGCCTGGTGACATGACATCACATGGAGCATGTGTGTGAAGAGGTATCATATGTCAAGATAGCAAGCTAGAGAGAGACTACCAGACACTCTCTTGATAGAAATAACCAGGGTCCTAGGAGAATTACATCAATGCTTTTTGAAAGCAGTATGTTCAATTACTTCCCACAGGGACCCCCCCTTAAAGAGGTTCAGCCCCCTCCTCCCAACACTGTCACACTGAAGACCAGCTTCTCAGTACTGGACTCCTGAGGGACCCACTCCAAACACATGCAAGCCACCTGATCACAGGTTGGAGCTGGAGGATGAGGAGGTGTCAAGGACAAAGACCTCGGGGCTCACGTGCATGTTAAGCCTCCTCACAAGGCCGGTGCTTTTCCCTCGGTCCCCTGAGCCCCCTGAGTCCGCTGTCCTCTGAGCCTGGGAAGAGCCACAGGAGGCAGAGCAGACAGAAACAGACGCCATTTCCAGGCAGGGATAGTATCCCCAGGGAAAGCAGGGTACAGGGTGCTGTGAGATGGTTCCATATCTGTGGTGTAGCTAGAGTTTTTCTGCCTGGCCCACAGTCAGGACAAATCTCTCTCACCTGCCAGTCCCACAGCCGCTCAAACCCGACCAAGTAAACACAGAGACTTATATTGGTTACAAACTGTATGGCCATGGCAGGCTTCTTGCTAACTGTTCTTTCAGCTTAAATTAATCCATTTTTATAAATCTATACCTTGCCACATGGCTTGTGGCTTACCGGCATCTTCACATGCTGTTTCTCATCATGGCGGCTGGCAGTGTCTCTCTGACTCAGCCTTCCACTTCCCAGCTTTATTCTCCTCCTTGTCCCACCTACACTTCCTGCCTAGCCAATGGCCAATCACTGTTTTATTTATTGACTAACACATTTAGCAACACATTTGCCATACAGAACATCCTACAGCACTTCCCCCTTTTTTTTTCAAAAAGGAAGGTTTTAGCCTTAACAAAGTAAAATTACATATAATTTGGGAATTTGAGCGTAGCTTCTCTTACTACTTCCTGCTGGAGGGGGGCGCTGTATCTTATGGGGATACAAAGAAAATTTTAGAATTATGGAATAGTCCATAATGAGGGTGTATTGTCTGAGCCAGTTGCCTTCAAATCGTTCTGGATGTTGGATCATCTGGGCCATGGTGTCATCGGAGACCTTTCAGGGGGTCTTGGCTGGTCAAACCTGATGTATCTTAATCTGGAACAAATCCATAGCCTCTGGCTTTCTGTGGAAACAAAAGCAGAGTCTCCTTTCCAAAGTAACATATCCTTATATCCAAATTTTGAAGTCAAGGTACCTTTAAAATATACATTTTGGCATAACTCAACAGCTTTTACAATCAAATGTTTTTCTGCAGTTAAAAGTCCCAAAGACAACACAATGCAGATTCTCTGTGTAATATCCATCTTTACGTGGCTTATTTTTTATATTAATTTTACTGTCTCTTTAAAGACTTTACTTTTTAAAACTATGTATTTGTTTCTATAACTGTATATATCACCTTTTTTGTCTCTTTCAAGCCTACATATCTTTTACACACATTTTAAACTATTACATCTGAAACTGTCTTATTGTGAATCTATTGCTTTAAGCTGCACCAGCTGTGGCTGCTGGCTCCGTCCACCTCCACCTCAGCTTCCCAACATGGCGGTGGTACGCTTACTGCCAGCTCTGGGAGCTATCATGGGTCTATGCTTTTAGCCAAGCAGCGTGTAGTCCAGAACCTCTTTTTTTGTTTTGTACTAGCAAAGACTAAATCCACCACGCAGCTTAATGTGCCACTTGCAGAGGCCTCATTCCCGCCAAACTGCAGATCGAGCACGCACACTGGGAACCCACAAGTAGCTCAAACTGGCAGCTGCTGCTCATTTGAGAGAGACAATTAGGAAGCTGTTTTTAGCTCCGTTTTAGAATCTTTTTTCTCAGTTTTTAGGTGGAAACTCTTGCCCCACGTTGGGCACCATTTGTAGCTAGAGTTTTCCTGCCTGGCCCACAGTCAGGACAAATCTCTCTCACCTGCCAGTCCCACAGCCGCTCAAACCCGACCAAGTAAACACAGAGACTTATATTGGTTACAAACTGTATGGCCATGGCAGGCTTCTTGCTAACTGGTCTTACAGCTTAAATTAATCCATTTCTATAAATCTATACCTTGCCACATGGCTCGTGGCTTACCGGCATCTTCACATGCTGTTTCTCATCATGGCGGCTGGCAGTGTCTCTCTGACTCAGCCTTCCACTTCCCAGCTTTATTCTCCTCCTTGTCCCACCTACACTTCCTGCCTAGCCAATGGCCAATCAGTGTTTTATTTATTGACTAATTAGCAACACATTTGCCATACAGAACATCCTACAGCACTGTGGCATTCTGTTTCTCTCCAGGGATTCTTTTTGGGTCCTCATGTCCCCCTCCCCCAACTCTTCACAGGCCTTCTGGCCAGGGGGGCTGAGGCACCGACTCCCCACGAAGAGGACAAACAGGTGCGGCACTGCCAGGCCTTGTAGAGAGCCGTGCACGGCCGCGCCTCAAAGATGGCAGGTGTTCTCTGGGATAAACAACTCCTTATTTGGCTTGGGCATAGAATCTGGCTTGCTTGCATATGTCTGAACCTATCGGCATTGTCCACGTGGCACTACGGGGTTGGTTGCTCAGTGGCTATAAAGGGCGTGGGCTGACTTTCCCCGGGGTCAGAAGATTGTTCAAGGTTCCTGAATAAACGGCAGAAAGAAGAGCTCGGCGTTGTGTCTTCTTTGCTGGTCGAGGTGGTCTCGACAAGTGGTGGCCCGTACGGGGAACCTCAGCCTCTTCGTGGAGCTCAGAACTTTTTGCTGTCAGGGTGGTATACCGGTAAGTCCTCAGGTAATTTGGGGAACCGCAATAAAAGCGGATTTTGCTCTCATCTGTAGATAAAGAGAGAACGGGAAAACGTAGAGCCGCGACAAGAGCAGACGGGGAAATTAAAGAGTAGAGCCGTGACAAGAACGGACGGGAAAATTAAAGAAAGTGAAAGCAAGTGAAGGCAAAAGTGCTGCTAGTATCATGGGCGCAACTTCTTTGCACCCAATTTTTCTGTCTCTTAACGAGCTGCTCCTTTCAAAGAAATTAAAGATTAAGAAGAGTACTTCAGAAAGATTTCTAGAGGAATGTGATGTCGTGGCACCCTAGTTCGCAGTTTCCGGAAGCCTCATGGTAGCTTCCTGGGAAAGGTTGGGCCGTGATCTAGACTTTGCTGCAGAACAAGGGACACTTAAACATGGGGTTAGACCAGTTTGGAAATTAGTGAGAGGGTGTCTTGAAGACCAGCGCTGCAGCGATGCAGTAGAGAATGGGCAGGCAGTCTTAGAAATGTTGCAGGAGGAAAGATCAGAAAAGGCCATGTCTGCTAAAGCAGCGTCTACCAGAAGTAAAACAAAAAAGGGGGAAGAAAAAACAAGGTTATATCCTGACCTTTCGGACCTAGAGCGTTCCAAGTCCCCTATCTCCCTGATTCTGATGATGTAGAGTCATTATGTGAAACCTTGCAGAGCGTGAGAATAAGAAAGAAAAGGGGGAGAAATAAAGGAGAAAGAGAAAGAATTAAAGGATGTGAGTCTGAGTGTGGAGCCGCTCCCTCAGCTCCTCCACCGTATCTGGAATCTGCCTCCATGTCTAGAGTTGTCTCTATGGGGAATTCTTTTAACCCGGAGGTTTGGAGACAGGTTAGAACTGAAATGCAGGTAGCTTGCCCAGTGTTTCTCAATGCCCAGACTCAACAGAGATACCATGAACCTTTGGATTTTAAGGTCATCAAGTCTCTAGTAGAATCTGTCCAGGATGAAAATAAGATATGTGAGTTTGTAGAAATTCTGTCTTGTTAAATCTGTGTTAAGAAATCTTTAGGTGGCCGGGCGGTGGTGGCGCACGCCTTTAATCCCAGCACTCGGGAGGCAGAGCCAGGCGGATCTCTGTGAGTTCGAGGCCAGCCTGGTCTCCAAAGCGAGTTCCAGGAAAGGCGCAAAGCTACACAGAGAAACCCTGTCTCGAAAAACCAAAAAAAAAAAAAAAAAAAAAAAAAAAAAAAAAAAAAAAAAAAAAAAAGAAATCTTTAGGTGTTTGCTAAGTTAAATATATGCTAATGGTAGCCCTATATAAGTTTGTAAGATAGATCCATAGAGTTCCTTTAAGAATATAAGCTTGCAAGAAGTATCTAAGGTAGTCTTTTTTTTTTTTTTTTTTTTTTTTTTTGGTTTTTCGAGACAGGGTTTCTCTGTGTAGCTTTGCGCCTTTCCTGGAACTCACTTGGTAGCCCAGGCTGGCCTCGAACTCACAGAGATCCGCCTGGCTCTGCCTCCCAAGTGCTGGGATTAAAGGCGTGCGCCACCACCGCCCGGCTAAGGTAGTCTTAAGACATGTAGTAATAAGCTTGTAAGAAGTAAAGATGTTAGTTGTAAATGAGAAATATAAGAAATATATTATAAGTTTAAATAAATATAAGAAGTATGTAAGAAGTAATAAGAAATATATTTGCTAAAGTAGTTCTATAGTTTCATTAAAGAGTATAAATAAGTAGATGTTAATATGTTATATGTGAGTTTGTAAAAATGTGTAAATGTTGAGTGTGAGTTCAGGCTTAAGCACGTTATATGTGAGTTTGTGAAAAGGTGTAAATGTTGATTGTGAATCTAAGCTTAATGTATGTGGTGAAAGAACCTGAGACACAGAAGGTTAGTGTCCCAGTAGACTGCAAAGTAGGCAGTCTGAATGGTTTCAAAAGTTCCAGAAGCCACTAAGAAGCTAAGAATGGTGGACGCCAGAACCAGCACAACAAGGCATCCGCAGCTGAGATCTGTGGAAAATCAAGGCAACACAGAAAAACCTGAGCTAACAGCGAAAACGGTGCGGTTTAAAATTACTGACTCCATAGATGGGAGTACAATTAGTGGAGTCTGATTTTAAAGGCCCTTTGAAGCCGGGCACGGTGGGTTTATTGATAGGAAGATCCTCCACCACCATAAGAGGTTTTACTGGGATCGTGAATGCACGCACGTTGCAGTCTAAATTTTCCCTTTCCCGTGCGGATGCGCGCCAAGTAGTTAAGGCCAAGGCATTGTGGAGCATGCGCATCGGTCCCTCAAAGAAATTCTTCAAAAACAAAAAGGGGGAATAGGCCGTGACCGAACCCCAAGAGAAAGACTCTCTCTGGCATTATTCACCTTACAGCCCTATGAAGGGCATGGTGAAGTGGAAAGATATCCTCACGGGTAGCTGGCATGGCCCCGATCCCGTGCTGACATGGGCACGAGGTTCTGTTTGTGTTTTCCCACAGGACCGGCTAGACCCTATCTGGGTACCTGAATGATTGGTGCGACGGGCCCCTCAGATGGAGAGACGTGATGACACCCCGGAAGCTGATGTGCCTGATGTGCCTTATCCTGATAACCCTGATTCTGACAAGCGTGCCAGCGGGAGCAGCTGAGGATCGACTGCTCTGGGCTCTTATAAAAGCCTGGCCATACCCTTTACCCATAACATCACATTCTAGTGTATTGCTTTATTTTTGAGTTGACTTGCTGCAGGAACAGAACCCAGATCCTGCGCAATGAGATCATTGTGGTCAACTCCACCTGTGTGCACCTGGCCTCCACTGCGGAAATGATGTCTTGGCTGCGAAATTCTATCACCTTTTTAAAGGGGTGGGCGGGATTAGGTGCCCTGGCAGGCCTACTGGTACTTGTCTCCCTGATGTGCCTGTGGTGCATTGTTCGTTTAAGGGTTTCTCAGCAGCGCAATGCAGCCATGATTATCCAAGCCTTTACAGCCATAGAGGCTGGACAGTCTCCCCAGGCCTGGCTGGCCGCATTAAAAGCTTGATTGTGCAGGATGCGAGGCTAGTGCACTGCACTTGGGTCTAGCTGTATTGCAAAACCCAAGAAGAGCAAGTCTAATTGCATATGGGTTGATATCCTAATTCCCACCTCTGCAAAAAAGGGTATCGGACAGGTCAAGTGTTCTCTGGGTGGATGACACCTGGACTAACACCAGTACAATGTCCAAGTTGTATTTTGGCAAAGATTAGACCTCTGCTCTTGCCTGCTGCTTAAAACAAAAAAGGGGGAACTGTAGAGAGCCGTGCACGGCCGCGCCTCAAAGATGGCGCCGGCGTCTGGCTTCCGCCTTCCCAATGGCGGGTGTTCTCTGGGATAAACAACTCCTTATTTGGCTTGGGCATAGAATCTGGCTTGCTTGCATATGTCTGACCCTATCGGCATTGTCCACGTGGCACTACGGGGTTGGTTGCCCAGTGGCTATAAAGGGCGTGGGCTGGCTTTCCCCGGGTCAGAAGATTGTTCAAGGTTCCTGAATAAATGGCAGAAAGAAGAGCTCGGCGTTGTGTCTTCCTTGCTGGTCGAGGTGGTCGCGACAAGGCCTAGAAAGCTGTGGAGAAAGCGCGAGGAACAGTGGTTCTGAGCTGTGGGTGGCAGGGGACTGCCTCAGCTTCTCGAGTCCTGGTCTAGAATGCTAAGATTGGTGTCTCTAGGGCTGACCCAGGTTTTGTATTTGTGTTTATTTATTTGTTTATTTTTTTTTTCGAGACAGGATTTCTCTGTGTAGTTTTGGTGGCTGTCCTGAATCTCGCTCTGTAGACCAGGCTGGCCTTGAACTCACAGAGATCCGCCAGGCTCTGCCTCCTGAGTGCTGAGATTAAAGGCATGCGCCACCACCACCTGGCTAGAATTTTTTTCTAATGATTTATTGATTTTTAAAAATTCTTTTTCTTTTGTGTGTCCAGGTATCTGCCTGCATGTATGTAAGTGTGTCACATGTGCGGCACCAGTGGAGGCCAGGGGAGGGCATTGGAATCCCCTAGAACTGGAGTTGCAGATGGTTGTGAGCCACCGTGTAGGTGCTGGGACTCGAACCTGGGTCCTTTAGAAGAGGTGCCGATGCTCATAACCACTGAGCCATCTCCAACCCCCTAATTATTTATTTTTATGTTTTGTGTATGGGTGTTTTACCCGAATGTATGGTCTGTGTGCCATGTGCATGTCTGGTGCCCACAGAGGCACAAAGAGGGTGATGGATTCCTTTGAACTGGAGTTATAGAAGGTTGTGAGCGCTGGGTGTTGGTAGTGCATGCCTTTAATCCCAGCACTCGGGAGGCAGAGGCAGGCAGATCTCTGTGAGTTCGAGGCCAGCCTGGTCTACAGAGCAAGATCCAGGAAAGAGGCAAAGCTACACAGAGAAACCCTGTCTCGAAAAACCAAAAAAAAAAAAAAAAAGAAGGTTGTAAGCTACCAAGTGGGTGCTGAGAATTGAACCTGGGTCTTCTGGAAGAGTAGACAATGCTCTTAAAGGCTGAGAGAAATCTCTCCAGCATCCCCCAACTCTCAAATCCCTGGTGATTCCAATCTTCAGCCATGAATGACGATCACTGGCTTCGGGTAGGGATGTTCTGGGGTCTGCTTGGAGCCAACACAACTCACACACCAAGTTAATACAGATGACAAGAATGTATTGTAATTGAGCCACTACTGATCGATCAGGACCGCAGAACAGACTTGAGAGCTGAACTGCAACCCCAAGCCAGACTGTCACAGAGCTTTTAAGCCTGAGAGTAGTGCAAATTCTAGTTGGTCTTAATAACAAAAACCAAGAGTCAGATATCATCATGAAAGCTGAAAGATCAGAAAAGCAGAGCAGCCAGCCACTAGAAAGATTTCTTACCTCTAGCAATCCTCCAACTTAACACCACTAAGCTGAAAACCACCACCTAAAGATCGGCTTTGGACTACAAACTGCTCAGGACAATTTCGAGGTGGCTAGCTGAGATGATCCAACCTCACTAGACTTGAGACAAGCCCTGCACTTCCCCATTATTCAGAGACTGGACAACAAATGATATAGTTAGCTCTCCCAAGACTTGACAATTAACCTAATTTTTTCTTTTCAAGATCCTCTAAAGATGACGTTGCCCTCAGACAGCAGAAAGTAAATTTAAGAACACAACGCCCACATTCCTAAGATGTAGGGTAGGTGGTTTTTGGGTCTTTCAGTGGGTTACGGATATTTGTCATTGTTTAGGGTAGTTGGTTACAAGTTGTTGTTGGTAATGGTCCGGGGGAAAAGCTAAACAAAGGAGATTAATTCAGGGATCTTGTTCTAAAAAGAAAAACAGGGGGTATAGAAATGACAGGATAAACAGGTAGATTATTGAATCTACTTTTAAAAAGCAACTACTAGTTTTAAATATTTTACTTTGTTATGGTCTTTGCATATTTTTTTTTTTTTTTTGGTTTTTCGAGACAGGGTTTCTCTGTGTAGCTTTGCGCCTTTCCTGAAACTCACTTGGTAGCCCAGGCTAGCCTTGAACTCACAGAGATCTGCCTGGCTCTGCCTCCCGAGTGCTGGGATTAAAGGCGTGCACCACCACCACCACCACCACCACCACCACCACCACCACCACCCGGCGGTCTTTGCATATTGATAGAAATTTGAGATTAATTTTGTTAGAACATACTGTACATACATTTGTACTCTTGTTTAAGGTATTGTACTTACACAGGTTATTTAACAATGTAATACAAATTTTTAGTCCTTGAAAGTTATTATTACCAACCATTTATGATAATAAGGAAATGCAGGTTAGTAGTTAGTCACCTATTACAATTAAACTTGTAGTCATGTTAGGAATGTTTTCAAGGTCAAACAGAGGTATATTTTTAGAAAGACAGGCCATCTTCAAACACTTCAGAGATCTACAGAATATGGTATTTAAGATGTTTTAATAACATAAGGTTCTTTTTTTTCTTTTTATGACAATGAGACATGTCTGCTCCTGGCAGCACCAATCTACTTCAGAGAAGATGATGGGCATCGAAGAAACTCTATGTGGAGTTTACTTTCTTTGTGGCAAGAGTTAGCCACTGGGCAAGAGACTGCTGACAGTATGCTGTCCAAATGGACAAGCAGGACACAAAAGAAAGGACTGCTGAACTTTGCCAAAACAAGGTAGGAAGGCCCTTTATAAAATCCTGTTTCACAGATAAGTCTGTCAGATATGCTAGGCCTATAGGCCGAAGATAGATGCCTCAACATTGCAGAGGAACCTTGGTTGACTGTCCAGGCAGCCAGCTGTTTCTGTCATTTCTCACATTTTTCAGAAGTTGATTGTGTGCATTTCCTGCTTTCTTAGGTAATATTATTTCCTTCTTGGATCTCTGAGGGAGTTGAGGACTAGATAGTTATAGTTTTCCTTGTTAACAAATCCAGAAAAGAAATTCACTAAAGAGATGTAAATTGTATAAGGTTGAGAGACATTAAAAAATAATTTTGGGCCGGGCGGTGGTGGCGCACGCCTTTAATCCCAGCACTCGGGAGGCAGAGCCAGGCAGATCTCTGTGAGTTCGAGGCCAGCCTGGTCTACAGAGCGAGATCCAGGAAAGGCGCAAAGCTACACAGAGAAACCCTGTCTCGAAAAACCAAAAAAAAAAAAAATAAAATAAATAAAAAATAATTTTGGTAATGTAAGTTAGAATAGAAAGTGAATTAGGTACAACCTTTTGGACTCCCCAAGATAGGATTGAAAATGGAGTATTTTCTCTGAATTTGTCAAATGCTAATGGACTAGACATTATTGATGTATTTATTGCCTGTATATATTGTATATAGTTATTGTACTTATTGTATATGGTTTTTATATTAGTTATAATGTTCTTTTTTATTTTAGACAAAAAGGGGGAAATGTGGTGATATTTTGTTTGTGCTCTAACAAATAAAGCTTGTCTGGAGATCAGAGTGTGGAGCTAGCCACTAGAGGCCAGACCATGGTGGCACACGCCCTTAATCCCAGCACTTGGGATCTCATGCCTTTGATCCCAGAACTTGGGAGGCACATGCCTTTAATTCTAAAACTTGGGAGGAGGAAACAGGAAGTGGTATGGCTGGGCAGAGAGAGGAAGTGATAAGGCAAGGTGGAGACAGGAACTAGGCCCTTTTGGTCTCAGTATTCCTAGAGGTTAAGAAGTTTCACAGTGGCTGGCCGCTCTGCTTCTCTGATCTTTCAGCTTTCACCCTGATATCTGACTCCAGGTTTTTATTATTAAGACCAATTAGGATTTACATTACACTGAGAATCACAAACCTCTGTGCCAAGTTATAGTTACGTTTTTGACCTATCAGGATTCAGAGATTAGGGGACTTTTCTAGGAACATTTCCTTATGATACACTTACCGTGTTCTCATTGGTTGGTTTACTCAAGTGTGGGGGTGTGGCTTGCCCACCATTCATGTCTCAACTTGCCAACCAAGATAACTGTTACCCAGGAAGGTCTGGGGAGGTCTTGGGAACTTAAACTTTATTTGGCTCTTATTCAAAATGGAAGTTTTATCCAAAATGGCTTCAGTTTGGTTCCTTATTACAGGAAAATAGATGGGTCACATGAACAACAGGGCATAGGGCACTTTATAGGTGTTTGGAGACCGAGGGGCTCAGGGCCTTCTGCAGCTCAGCATGCTGGCTCCTCTGATTATGATGTGGTATGGAGTTCTCCCTGGCTCTCTCAGTCCTGTCAAACGGTGAAACTGGGTGAGCTTTCAGATAAACAGTGATGGCCAATGCCTCAATAGTGCAGGGTCCTCCTGTGCTGCTTAATTTTTGTCAATTTTTTTTTGTTTGATTTGTTTGATTTTGGTTTTGGTTTTTCAAGACAGGGTTTCTCTGTAAAACAGTCCTGGCCATCCTGGAACTCGCTCTGACCTCGAACTCACAGAGATCCGACAGCCTCTGCCTCCCAAGTGCTGGGATTGAAGGAGTGTACCACCACCACCACCCAACTAGTTTTTGTCAGCACACCTAGACACATCTGGAAAGAGGAAATGTCAGCTGAGGAATTGCCTCCATCACATTACCCTATGAGCGTGTCTGTGGGGCATTTTCTGGATTATTGATTGCTATGGGAGGGTCTAGTGCACTGTGGGCAGTGCCACACCTGGCCAGGTGGTCCCGAGTTGTATAAGAGAGCAAAGTGGGGCTGGAGAGGTGGCTCAGAGGTTAAGAGCACTGGCTGCTCTTCCAGAGGTCCTGAGTTCAATTCCCAGCAATCACATCGTGGTTCACAACCATCTATAATCTGGTGCCCTCTTCTGGTATGCAGGCAGAACACTGTATACATAATAAATAAATCTTTAAATAAAGAAAGAAAGCTAAGCAAGCCATAAAGAGCAAGCCAGTGAGAAACATTCCTCCATAGTTTCTACTTCAGTTCCCACCTTGAGCTCCTGCCCTGACTTCCCATCATGATGGACTGTAAGCTGTAAGGTGAAATAAACTCTTTCTTCCTCAAGTTGCTTTTGGTCATGGTATTTATCACAGCAACAGAAAGCAAACCAGAGCCACTGCTTCTATTTGAAAGATTGTTCATGGCCTGGAGAGATGGCTCAGTGCTTAAGAGCACCATGTATACATACATACATATATATACATACATACATGTATAGATATGTGTGTATGTGTGTGTGTGTGTGTGTGTGTGTGTGTGTGTGTGTGTGTGTGTGTGTGTGTGTGTAGGGGCCCCAAAACAGCTTGACCAAACAGCAGCCATGACAGGCGTAGGGGCCTAGATACAGCTTCTGTGACAGGCTTACTGGCAGGCAACACCCAGATCCAGGAAAAGCCTTAAGCTGATATCACCCAGGGATCCACCCAGGGGTGAGGAAGTACCTGACATCCCAAACATTCCAGCCATTAATTAGATAAGGTGGCCAGATGTCCCTGAGTCTAGCACACACCTATTTTTGTTTTACAGATACCCCTAGACAATTGTCAGCCAATCAGGGTCACAGAAATCCCTTCACTCCAACCTCTGCTGATAAAAACCCCACCCCACCTGAGCTTGGGGCTCTCTGCTCTCACTGCTGCGTTGGACAGACAGAGAGACCAAGCTCGGAGCTTGAAGAGAATAAAGACTCTTTGCTTTTACATGCGGGATTCGGTCTCCGTGGTGGTCTTTTGGGGGTCCCTGAGATCTGGGCATAAAAAATATGTGAGTATTATTCTATCAGTTCTGTTCCTCTAGAGAACCCTGACTAATACATTGCTCATGTAGAGAACCTGGGTTTATCCCCAGCTTCCACATCAGATAACTCATAACCACCCAAAACTCCATCTCTGGGGGATCAGACACACTCCTGAACAAGCACCTGCACTCCCATGAACACCCCCACACAGGCACACATAATTAAAAATAATAATAAAAAACATAAAATTAGCCAGGTGGCAGTGGCACACGCCTTTAATTCTAGCACTCACCAGGCAGATCTCTGTGAGTTCAACGCCAGCCTGGTCTACAGAGCGAGATCCAGGACAGGCACCAAAACTACATAAAGAAACCCTGTCTTGGGGAGCAAAACAAACCCAAAAACCCATAAAGTTATTGAAAAAGATTGTTGCTTATTTAACATTTAAATTTCACTGGGCACTTGTATTTTTATTTGCTAAATCTGGAAGTCCCAGAAGGTTAGCATGGTGGTGCCCATTAATCCCAGCATTTAGAAGCCAGATGCAGGAAGATCCAAAGTTTAAGGTCAAAGTTCAGTACCAAAGAAAGGAAGGGGACCAGGTGTGGTGGTGCACACTTTAATCCCAGCAGTGGCAGGTGAATCTCTGTGAGTTCGAGGCCAGCCTGATCTACAGAGTGAGTTCCAGGCCAGCCGGGGCTACACAGAGAAACCCTGTCCCCCAAACCCCAAATAAACAAACAAACAAATAAATTTGGCAGTCCTACACAAAAGCTGAGGTCAGGCTAATTTAATCATGGTCTCTAGGGAGCAGAGCCCCCAGAGGTGGGAGTGGCTTGGGTATTCTGAAGGGTCTCAGTGAAGTCTCATAGCTGGAACTAGAAAGGAACGCTCCTCCCTCCTGACATTGAGGGAGGGCTTTGGTGTATCAGTTCAGGGTTTCCTGCCTTTGATCATATCATTGTACCCATCAATCTGGGATGCTTTTCCTCTGCTTCTCTCTCTCTCAGCATCTGTTATAACTAAGATCGACCTTGAACTCACTATGTGGCTGAGGATGACCTTGAACTCCTAATCCTGCCTCCCCATCACATGTGCTGGGATCACAGGCCTCTGCCACTACATCCGGAATATACAGTGCTGGGCTAGGTAAGCATTCTGCCAGCTGAGCCCGGTCCCCAGGTCAGTAGAGTTCTTTCCTCCTATTGGCCAGCGGAGACCCCAGCCATCACTTCCCTCCCCTTCACTTCCCTCTCTTGGCTGGTGCAGTGTGTGGGATTCCCCAGTTTAGCCATGTATCGCCCTATCCTGCTCTCAGAGGGTCAGCATGTGTAGAGGTGTTTTCCAGATGGTGCCTAGCCATGAGGATGGTCAGTGAAAAGGGATGCAGACTTGCCATGGGACTGTGGGCATACACAGGTGCTTGTGATTGGACACCAGGGGGTGCAATGGAACTACCAATTAAGAAGGACACAAGCCTCGGGTAACCCTGGACGTTGGCAGTATGGGTGCTGGGGTCCGCAATGTGTTCCCCACCAGGCCCCAAACTAAACCTAAGGAGGTCTTTCTGATCAACCATGAGATATCTGCTGAGGGTCTCCTGCAGGCGAAAGAAGTGGCCAGGGAGGAAGCAGCTGTGGCGACAACAGGAGCCCCTGGGGCATCAGACAAAGAGGGGCCCTGGGGAAAGAGGACCCCACAGATAGCAAAATGTGTGTGTGATGGCGGTGCCTGTACAGGCCCTGGTCTCCCCAAGGGCCAAAGTTGGAACGGCTGTCCCTCTTCGAGGATCGTGGATACTAGCAGGTGCACCCTCTGGTGGTGGCTTCAGGGAATGCACCTCCTGGCTCAGTGCCTTGAGCTGACTAGGAGCCTGGTATGGTAAATGGACAGGGCAGGTGCTGGGCAGAGCAGAGCTAAGGGAGGCAGAGTGAGGTGTGAGTGGGAAGGATGGGGACACAGCTGTGTGAGGGACAGAGTCACATACATATAGGAGGTTGCATGCATTGTTCAACGGAACAGTTACCTCACCAGTATTCCTAAGGCCAGCCCCTGGGCAGCCACCAGCCAGTTCCTAACACCGGGATCACGTGACAGACTAGAAACCACCACGTGTTTCTTGTTTTCTGGCCTCTGTCACCTTTGTGTTGGTGTTCTCCAGGGTGCTGCATGGTGGTGGTTTGTAGTGACCTTTTGTATAAACCCATAGCTCTCACTTTGGTGGTGGCATTTAGGCGTTTCTGCTCTGAAGACGATGAAAACTGTTCCTGGGGACTTTCCTACTCTCCTGGTGCCTGACAGGGTCCATGATGTTATTGAACAGAGCTCAATTTCCTCCTCTGTAAAAGGGAGACAGTTACACTCACCTGGCAGGATGACCTGTGGATTGTAGAACCTGCCTCCCCAGGTTTGTGGCTATAAGTAGTAGCAGGCTGCCAGACCAGGAAAGACCCTCAGAGGCATGGGCAAACTGGTCCCTGAGGGACGGAAGGTGATTGCTGGTGCCCAGCCAGCTGGGGATAGAGCAGGGATTACAGTCAGACCCCCAGGCTAAGCCCATGCCCTTTCTAGGACCAAGGGCCTGAGACAGCCACTGGTAATTCCTTCTGTGTCCTCATGCCACTGCTGACGCCTGTCCTCAGCGTGATGGGGCCAGGGCCTGACTGCCGGCATCATCCCACCTGGTGTAACATGGGAGGCAGGGCCAGGGGGATTAGGAATCTCCACGCACGTCACATGCTGCCACGGGGATATGTGCTACAGCTGCTTTGCAGACAGGAGTCTTGGGTTCTCTGAGTTCCTGCACCTGGTGACAGCCCCCAGGTGACTAGCTCTGTGTTGGGGACACTTGGACTCCTTACAGTTCTGGTAAGTGGGCCCTCATCCCCGACTCTTTGTACGTATGTGTGTGCATGTGTAATGGAGGCCAGGGGTTGGTGTCACCCCTCAGCAACCATCGACTTCATTTTGGGGGGATAGGATTTCTCACTGTTCTGAGTTCACCAGGTAGGTTAGGCTGGCGAAGGGAGCCAGTGAGTCCCAGGGGTTTGCCCAGCCCTGTCTTGGCCATGCTAGGTTTGCAGACACTGGGCGATGGGCATTGCACCTGGCTTTTCTTGGGTTTTGAGGATTGTGCTTAGTTCCTCCCTCAGGCTTGGGCTATCTCCACCACCCATGTTAAAAAAAAAAAAAAGAATTTTTATTGCATTTTATTTATTTTATGTGCATGTGTGGGTGTGCACATGTGCAAGACAGAGAACTTGTAGGAGTTGGTTCTCTCCCTCTATCATATGGGTCCCAGGGACCAAGCTCAGGTTCTCAGGCTTGGTGGCAAGTCCCTTTACCTGCCTAGCTGTCCCACCTTAACGCCAGCCCCTTTTGAAAGCAGATGTATGGAAGGCATCCTCTAAGGACAACCAGTTTGTGGGATGTTATAGGAAAGAGGGTACCCACACGGGCATGTTCTATGAGCCTAAGCTGGTGGACAGTTTTCCTGCATGCCCTCCATACCTGACCCTCCCCACCTGGGACTCTGCAGTCTCAGACTCTTTAACCGTCTTATCCCCCATCTCCTGAGCTTGACGTAGTCTGACGTCATCTGGGAAAACGTGGTGCTCAGGCTCACATTAATTAAAGAGATTTTTCTCCTGGATTAAAGCCTGGGGCAACCTAAAAAGCTCCTAGCCTGGGGAAGGAGAGACAGCTCAGAGATTAAGAGCACATGTCCCTCTCCCTGTGGTCTTAGTTCAGTTCCTGGCACCCACACTTGGCAGCTCACAAGCACCTGGAGCTCCAGCTCCACGCCCAATGCCTCTGGCCTCTGTGGGCTCATGCACACATGTGCACACATCCACACAGGCACCTTTCCTTTAAAAAACAAAAACTGAGAAAATCTCCTGGCCATGCTATCTCATCCACAAGACTAGACGTCTCCCTCTGGGTAAGACAAGCCGCATGACTGGTGGTATCAGGGGCCTGGGTGCCTTCCCACACCACAGAGTCAGTAGATGAGGTTGGAGGTTCATGCATCCTTGCTCTACTGCACCTTTGGGCAACAGTGTTGGTGTGTCTACAATCTACCAAGGCTCAGATACCTGGAGGGCAGTGGAATCTGTCTGGAGTTTTGGACATCTGCTCTGAGGGACCTCTAGCTTTTTTTGTTTTTTAATTTATTTCTATTTTATGTACATTGGTGTTTTGCCTGCATGTATGTCTGTGTGAGGGTGTCAGATCTTGTAGTTACAGTTGTTATGTGGGTGCTGGGAATTGAACTGTGTCCTCTGTAAGAGTAGCCAGTGCTCTTAACTGTTGAGCCATCTCTCCAGCTCGACCTTTAGCTCTTGAGTGAAAGTGAGGAGATACACTACCATTTCAAGTTCCTGGGATTTGCCTGGAGGTCCAGGCTGGGGATTTGCCTGGGGACTGGATCTGTCGCCAGAGACGCCTGACTTGCAGTCTTCAAGAAGAAGGCCAGGCTCCCTCTCTTCTCTGACAGGTGCTAAGGGACCACTTCTGAAGCTGGAGAACCCCTGGGAGGGTTCAGCAGCCAGATGCCCATGTTGAGCATCCACTCCCTGAAACCCGAGGCCCTGCGCCTGCCACCTGGGACCTCAGAGTTCCTGGGCTGCCAGCGGCGCCACACACTCCCTGCCAGCGAGTTCCGCTGCCTCACTCCCGAGGATGCCATCAGTGTGTTTGAGATCGAGCGTGAAGGTGAGTGGCCCTTGGGAGGGTACTCTGAGTTGACTGTTGTCTTATCCTGAGGCTCCGGCCTTTGGGAGTTAAATTTGAGAACACGCGCGCGTGCACCCCCCGCCCCCCCACACACACACTGAGGGAGAGAGCGAGCGAGAGAATGATGTGTGCCCTAGACTAGGAGGCAACAGCCCAGAGTCTCGTGCTTTCCTAGAGGGGGGCACCCGAGTGGCCACTTGTGTACCAACAGTGGACAGGTGGCACAGCAAACGTCATTCACCCTTGCCATCTGTCACAGCCTTTATCTCTGTCTCGGGTACCTGTCCCCTCTACCTGGATGAGATCCGACACTTCCTAACCCTGTGTCCAGAGCTGTCATTGGGCTGGTTCGAGGAGGGTCGCCTTGTGGCCTTCGTCATCGGCTCACTTTGGGACAAGGAGAGACTTACTCAGGTGAGGGCAGGTAGAGCTCCTCAGAGATGGAAGTCTCCTTCCGAGCAAAGTAAATCCAAGCAGCAGGCCCCTCCCAAGGCAAGAGCCCTCTGCCCAACCCTCTAGAGCAGTGTTCTCAACCTTCCTAACACTGTGGCCCTTTAATATAGTTTCTCATGTTGTGGTGATCCCAACCATGAAATTATTTTCGTTGTGACTTCGTAACTGTAATTTGCTACTGTTATGAATTGTAATGTAAATACCTGTTTTCCAATCGTCTTAGGTGAAAGGGTCGTTAGACCCTAAGGGGTTACAATCCACAGGTTGAAAATTACTGCTTCAGAGTCTCAAAAGACCTTTAAAGTTTTGTCTGTAGGACTGTAGATGTGGCTCACAGCGGGGCCCTGTCGGGGTGAGAAGGGAGCCCCGGCTACTCTGGTACCTGGGACACCCTTCCTTTTGGTTAGAGTTGGGTTTCGAGGAGCAGGTATCAGCAGAAGTAACCCAGACACCCCGTCCCTCGCCCGCCCCCAGGAATCGCTGACGCTGCACAGGCCTGGAGGCCGCACGGCTCACCTGCATGTCCTGGCAGTGCACCACACCTTCAGACAGCAGGGCAAGGGCTCTGTCCTGCTCTGGCGATACCTGCACCACCTGGGGGGCCAGCCGGCTGTGCGGCGGGCTGTGCTCATGTGCGAAGATGCACTGGTGCCTTTCTACGAGAAATTTGGCTTCCAGGCTGTGGGCCCGTGCGCCGTCACTGTGGGCTCCCTCACCTTCACAGAGCTCCAGTGTTCCTTACGGTGCCATGCCTTCCTGCGCAGGAACAGTGGCTGTTGACCCAAGCCGCCCACTTGGCCGTGAAGAGGGTGGGAGCAGCAAGCAGGCTGGGGGCTCCTAACTCCCACGCCACACCCTTCTCTGCCTAGAGTCCATCCAAGTAGAGCTGGCTAGCATGAAGGAGCCAGCAGTTGCCAACTGGAGTGGAGAGGTAAGGGTCAAAAAGAGCACACGAGGTGGCTTCGCCCCAGCATAGGCTGCCATCTGTCCCCAGAGGACTTCTTGCATTCTAAACTGTGCACAAAGCCAAGACCAGGATGGGGAACCGGAGCAGCGGGAGGTCTGTCCCCACACTTCCTCCTCGACCCGCTGTCTCTGCGTCCCAGTGCGGTGCCCTGATTCTGGGGGTCCTTGTTCTCCCAAGACTGACACCCCTTCCTGGCTCCTAACTGGGAATGAGGGACACCCAGCAGCTGAATTTGAGAAGGGCCTGGGACCAGGACCTGTGAATAGTGGCGACCGTGGGGTTGGGAAGTGCTACAGGGCCGCACCCCACTGCACTTGGGCACCAGTGTGCCCGCTCACCTGCTTGCCCAGGTTCTGCTTCTGTCCTGGTTCCCACTCCAGCCCCACTAATAAAGCACTTATGTCTCCAGTGGCTGTGGGCCATGGGTGTGTGCAGGGTCTCCTGAGTGAGCTGATTGGAGAGCAAACCCCACCTGACCTCCCACCAAGTCGCCTCTGCCAAAACAGGCCGGTTCTGCAGATGGTCAGCTCTCTTTCTGCCCCGGAGCAAAGGCAGAGCAGCTGGGGTTGAGATCTCGGGTCTCTCCATGCAACCCAGTCCTGTCAGGGTCCTCGGCATCTCCCTGGCCATCTCAGTCTGGTTTTTGGCTCAACTAAGTGCCAGAGAAATCCCAAGTTTCCCAGTCTGCCTCAGCCTCATGGCTGGCTGCCCTCACACCGAAGTCTTTAGTTTTTAAATTAAAAAAAAATATATTTTTTTAGAAAGGGTCTTGTAGCTCAGGCTGACCTAGGACTCACTACATAGACCAGGCTGCCTTCAAACTTAGAAGTCCATCTACCTCTGCCTCCTAATATATATGTGCTGCATACGTCTGGTACACAGAGATACATGCAGGTGCCTGTGGAGGCCAGATGGAGTTGGATCCCCTGGAACTGTAGTTACAGATGATCTGCCATGTGGGTTCTGGGAACTGAACCCAGATCTTCTGGAAGAACAGACAGTGCTTTTAATATCTCCAGTCTCTGAGTGGTTTTTGTTTGTTTGTTTTTGAGACAGGGTTTCTCTCTGTAGCCCTGGCTGTCCTGGAACCCACTTCTGTAGACCAGGCTGGCCTTGAACTCAGAGATCTGCCTGCCTCTGACTCCTGAGTGCTGGGCTTAAAGGTGTGTACTACCATTGCCTGGCTTGAGTATTTTTTTAAAAAAATACTCATTTCTATATATTTGTTAAGTGTGTCTGTGTGAGAGGGTGCTCTGGAGGCCAGAGGAGAGCACTGGACCCGTGGGGCTGAGGCGACAGTAGTTGTGGACCACCTGACATGGGTCTAAGATGGGAACTGACCCCGGGTCCTCCTCAAGGACAGAAGTGAGCCTCCTCTCCAGCTCCAAGTTTGGGTTTTCAATCTCCCAGAGGCTTGAGGCTAAAAGCAGTATTTTGATAGAGAATGCTATTGAATAAACTTGAGACATCGTCCATACAAAGTTAGCGTTACTGTAAAAAATTAGGACCATAATATAAACTGGAAAAACAAACAAAACACCAGGCCTGGCTGAGCCTCAAGCATCCCCTGGGAGCCAGTCCTTAAGGGGGCTCAGCCCCTGGCCACATAGGCAGGAGTGAGGCGGAGGTGGTGGGGACATCCCAACATCAGAGCCGGCCTGTGAGGCCAGATACGGATGCTGGAGCTAGGGCTGAGCTGGTGGCTTAGCAGATCTGGCTTCTTAACATCCCTTAGCATCCCATAGAGCCATCTCTCCTTGCTTGTCACTGCCCCTGGACAACGGCCAAAGCCTTTACCACAATGCTCTGTCCAGGAGCCTGAGGAGCAGGTTCACGAGTCCATGGACAAACGCAGGAAGGGCTTGTAGGACTGGGAGGAGAGGAGAAACAGGAAGATGGGTCATAGCAGCATGGTAGGGACCTCAACCCTGGGGACAGCTGAGGGAGCAGCTGTGTGTCTGGCGAGGTTACAGTCACAGTGACACTAGAAGACAGCACCCGCACAGGCCAGAGCCCTGAGCCTGGGAAGAGAAGTAATTGTCTCTACCGGGGAAGAAAGGCAGGCAGAGCCTAGGACCTGAGCTGTGAAGAAACAGGTGTCCTGGATGTCCCCCAAGCTTGGGTCAGGAACATCCAGACCCGAGAAAGGGAGGTCTCATCTCCCTGGGGAACCTGCCTGCACTACCTGTGTCCTGTGCAGTCACCCTTGTCTGGAGAGCGAGCCCAGGGCCCCGCTGGCAGCAAGTCTCCACAGACCCCCTCTCTGCGAAGTTAGTGTAGCACCTGGTCCAGCTCATACTTCTCACAGAACCGACTGGTGAAGGGAAAGCAGGTGAGGTACTCGATCCAGGGCCAGTGGATGGGGTAGAAGTAGAGCCACAGCACCAGGGAGGCGAAGAGCCCGGCGAAGACCAGCAGCGACACCAGGATGAGTGCTCGCTTGCGGTACTTGTCGCTGGTGCCGAAGGTGATGTAGGGCAGGAAGGCAAAGGCCAGCAGCATGCCGCTGAGGAAACCGAAGATGTGGGCAATGTTGTCTATCCAGGGCAGGAGGCCACAGATGAAGAGGAAAAGCACAATGGCCGACAGGTTGAAGAAGGCCTTCCACGGTCGCTCCAGCAGCTGCCAGCTCTGGAAAAGCTCCACGAAGAGGCACGCAAGGAGGCCAAACTGTGACCCAGCCGGGCCCACCTGGGGTCGGGGAGGAGAGAGGTGGCACACTGACTCTGGGTACGGGGGTACCAGCCCTGGGGCACATCTCGCACTCAGAGGATGAGGCAGGAGCGGCTGAGCTTGCTCTGCACATCCTTGCAGAAAACCTGGGTGCGGGACCCTGGGACTTAGCACAAGCCAGCCTGCTCCGAGGAGACCACAGGCAGTGCACAGAGCACAGACCAGAAGGGGCAACAGACTCGAGGTGAATGGCTCAAGAGACCTCTCCTCCTGAGGGTGGAGAGCAGCCACATGTAGGGTTTCCCTGAGCAAGGAGTGGGGATCCCTGGTGACTCAAGACTGTCCCTGTTCCCGCCTGCCGAGAATTAAGGGACCAATCAGTACGTTCCAGCTTAGCTGTCCATCTATAGTTCAGCTGGACACAACAGGGGCTCTGTGCCCTTCCTGCAGCTCCTGGGGTGAGACCAGAGCAAGAAGCAGTGGGGTCAGCCCTCCCCACATGCCACAAAGCTTTAGGCCCAAAAGGAAGGGCACACCCCACCCGCTTTGCCCTTCTCTCCCAAGTCCTACCTCTGCCCGATAGGGGAGAAAGATGGCACTGGCCAGGTTGCCTGTGATACCACTAAGGATGAAGATGATGGAGATTCGGTGCCAGCCAGCCAGCTTCTCTAGATCCCTCAGGATGGTCATTTGGAAGACCACAGACACAAGGCAGTGCACTATGCTGGGGGTAGAGACATGAGCATCATCAGCCTTCCTCATGTGCCCATGCCCACCAGCTGGGCATGCCACAGGTGCAGTCGGCGCTGGCAGGCTGAGCCTGCTGTGCCCGGTCCAGAAGCCCTTTCTCTAGCATCTAGGTGGGAAGGCACAGGAGTCTGGGCAAGGGGCAGCAAGGCACCTCTTACCCAGCATGCAGGAAGAGAGACAGCCAGATCCGGTAGAACTGGTCAGGAACCTCAGGGTTGAGGAAAGGCAGTAGTCCGCACACCTTGTCTAAGCAGTGCACCTGGGTAGGGGACACAGGGTTGTTAGTGCTGCCCTAGGAGGCAGGCCAGATCTGAGGCTTCCAAATGGGAAGGATCCAGTGAGCCTTACGACCCTTGCAGCTTACAACCCAGACAGCCTTTGCCTACCTGGGAACAGAGCGTTGCCTCCTCGTGGAAATAGCCATGCATGAACTCACAGTACTCCCGAGTGGTGATCTCACAGCTGTGGACAGGGAGCAGACAGGGCACGAGCATTCTAAAGGGCCCCTGCCCACCGAGGCTGGAGCCCAGCACCTGGTCATGGCAGGCAGGATGGAGCAAGCTCCCTTCTGTCTCACTGTCCTTGTCGTCCTCCCCCGCCCCCGCCACCCCATCCCCCACGAGCAGAGGACAGAGGACAGCTGCAGAGGTCCATCAGCCTGCGGGGTTGGGGGCGCTGGCTCACCTGCCCTTGGTACCAATGCAGCAGGGGCGGCCTTTGATCTCGCAGTCTATATGCAGTAAGCCCGTGTGGTTGCTCTGGGCCTGCTCTGTGCAAATCTAAGGGAGAGGGTGCCGATGGCGGTGGGCCGCAGTGACAGGAAGCCAGACGTCCCCACCCTCATCCGACAGCCTTCTGCATGAGTCACTCACGTACCGGCCACTTGGTAATGTCATCAGGCCAGATGTGGGCCCCACTGGAGGCTGGTTCTTCACAAGTCCTGAAAGCAGTGGGCAAAATGAAGAGTTGGGCCACCCCAGCCCGCCGCACCCACCCGCCAGCAGCCCAGCAGGCAGCTCAGATGGCTGGGCCCACAGGCGGCTCTGGGCTGTACCTGGGGTCCTGGTGGCACACAACCGCTGACGGCTGCTTCTGGCCCTGGTCAGACTTATCCGAGGGCCCAGTATCATTCTGCCACTTCACAAAGGTGGCCAACGTCTCCTAGACGGTGGAGAGGAGGTCAGGTCATGCCAGGGCGATGTCATTCAGATGGTGCAGGCAGGGAACCCTCCGGGACAAGGGCTATTCCCATTTCCCCAGGGCTCAGGTACTTCCTAGGAGCCATTCTGTCCAACTTTCCCAGCCCGGCTTTGGGCTTGTCTGCTGGGCTGGGAAGGGAAGGAGCGATGTGGTGGAGCTGGCAGGGTTCGGGGCTGGACCCACCGAGCAGTCCTTCTTCTGGGTCTGGATGCAGCCCGAGCGGTCATTCTGGACGCAGCAGCCTGAGGCGCGCTCGATGTCACGCTCCCTCCGCACCAGCTGCTCAATTTGCTGGTCTTTCCGGATGCAGGGTGAGAACTTGGCTCCTAGGTGGATCAGGTCAATCTGGGATTGGGAAAGGGGCTGGTGAGCCAGCACTCCATACTCAGAAGGGGCAGGGCACCCTGCAGCCACCGTGGAGCCTCCCCCAACTGCTCATCTACCCAGTGTGGAGTGACAGGATACAGGGCTCCCAGGCATACCCAGCCTGAGCCTCACCGAGCTGGGGCCAATCCAGAAGTTCTCCTGCTGGATGTATTTCACGCTCTCGTATACACCTCTGTTCTTCAGCACCTATCAAGGAGGTAGTTTGAGGCATTAGAGGAGCCAGAGTCCTGAGTGTGAGAGGAGAGGGGATGGGTGGCATCCCCAGAATGGAGCCTCTAGGAAAGATGCAGGCTGTGAGCCTCAGCACCTCCACCTTGGGCCAGGCCGCTGTGGTGGGAGATACTTGGTGCCCAGTGTGCTGAAGCCCTTTGGGAGAGCCCTACTCACCAGCTGGGTGGTGACATGCTGGGCAAAGCCCACAGGTGCAATGCCATAGGTGCAGATCACCAGCAGGGTGATGATGATGTGGACAAAGGTCAGCCAGTAGGTAAAGTAGGGCCTGTAGGCAGAGGCCTCCATCAGCCCAGCAAGTTCACACCCTGCCTTCCCCTGGACATGGCAGACTTCCCCGGGCTCTGTGATCACCCCAGTTCAGCCTTCCCCACATAAACTCAGAAGATGCATCTCCAAGTGTCTCTCTGTTTAAGACCCCGGATGGGATGTGGATGAAGAATGTGGATAAATCAGCATCACCCACGCTACTGCTAACTGTCGAGGCTGGCTATGCTCATCTCTTCCCTTCTCCTCTGCATGCACTTCCTGGAACAGCCACCACCCTGAAGCCCCAGGGCCTTGTACACACTTTACATCACCTGGGAGACTCCACCCACCCCTTACCCCAGCCACTCACCCACCACACCTGTCATTTCTTACTTTGTATAATTTGGAGTCCGATGTCTATGATCACATTGCCGATCATACTGTGACTATCTCATTTTTTAATTTCCAGTTTCTCTTAACATTTCTGTGCCCAACTTCCCCCAGAATCCCTCACTCCAGGCTCCAACTCCTTTTGTTCTGTTTTAACTTCTTTGGTTTTGAGACAAGGTATCTCTATGGAGCATTAGCTACAACTCAATATATAGACCAGGCTGGCTTTGAACTCACAGAGCTCTGTCTACCTCTGCCTCTTGAGTACTGGGATTAAACATTAAATTATTTGTTTATTATTAGTGTGTGTGTGTGTGTGTGTGTGTGTGTGTGTGTGTGTGTGTGTGTGCGCATGATGTATATTGGGGTGTGTGTGCACACGACATGACACGAATGTGGAGGTCAGAGGACAGCTTTGGGGAGTGGGTTCTCTCCACCTTCATACCAGCGCATGTCTGGGAGCTTGTCATTACGAGACAGACCTGCAGGGGGTGCTCTTGACACGTTTACTGAACAAGAAGGGGCCGCGTCTGGGGTGAGGGCCCTGAGAGGTTTGGAAGCTCTGGAAACAGTCCCAGTTCAGGCTAGCTCCTGGGGGCTCACCGGTGGCTGTCAAAGCTCTCCAGCTGTTGCTGCACGGTGCTGCTGATGCTGCGGCGGTAGCTGCGGTTCAGCCAGTTGCCTACCACACCCAGGCCGTAGTGCCGCTTCTTCCGGTCAAACGCAAAGTGCTTTACTTTGGAGGCAATGCGCTTGCCGCGCTGGGTCCCAGGAGCTGGGGTCCGGCCGCTGTACTCTTTTCTGGTGGTGACAAAGGTTCTCAGCCTGAGGACCCTCCCAGGGTGAATGGGGGCAGAGCCTGGCAGATGAAAGGCAGGGCACTGGAGAGTCCCCACCCTGTACTCACAGAGGAATTTGCACTCCATCAGGGGAGACTGGGGAGGCGGAGTGTGGGACCCCTCGGAAGTTGCTAGCAGAGAGTGGAGGAGACTCAAATACATCATCGTGCATGGAGCTCATTTCTTCCTGGAGTGGAGGGGCACCAGAGACAGGGTAAGGAGTCACTGTCCCAAGTATCATCCCCTGGCACGCCAATCTGTGCGGTCTCTTCAGGATGGAAGGGGAAGCCACATGCCTGTCGTCCCTGACTCCAGATCCCCCGCTATGGGAGCCCAGCCCAATGGCTCACAAAGGACACACCCCATCCTGCCTTTGGACCTTTCAGGGATCCTGGCAGGACAGTCAAGGCCAAGGCTACTTCTCCCAGCTCCCAGGCCACCCCAGCCCCCGCCCAGAGTCCACACCCCATGCTTGCCTTACTAAAAAAGGAGGAGTCGAAGGTGTCTGCGCCGTCGACCGCATCCTCCTCCAGGAAGCTGGGGTAGGCAAAGCTTCGTTTGACATTCCGGCACCGCTGCCCAGTGGCATCTAGCACTGAGCGCCCCTGGGCACAGAACAGAAGCATACCCTCAGTATTAAGACCCAGAACCCAGGACCAAAGGGGCAGCTTGCAGACTGGCAAAGGCATGGAGCATCTGATAAGTGGATGGGCTGAAGGAACTGCTCGGAGCAGAAGGCCAGGGTGGGGCTCCAGCTGCTGCTGGCCTACACAGCCTCTCCTTCCAAGGTTTCGGATCAGCTTTTCCCTCACAGCCTTTTGCCTGTTAACATGAGTGGTTGGCACTCCAATACTCAAGGTGTCCATATTCCATACTATCATGCTTAAGTCTGGGGCTGTGTCCCCTCACTGCTGCCTCTTGGCCCAGCACACTAGGCCCTTGCCCACTGGTGCGATCCTTCATCTCCTGTCATTCCTCCCACAACAGGAGAAAGACACTTCCTAAAACACAGGGTCGGTGAGGGTCTCGCAGGGGAACTGGGGCCCAGTACACAGGTATCCCTGGTCATCTGGGTATGCATGCACTCACAGCTTTGACACAGAGGGCAGACACCTAGGTGAGCTAAGTGGCGGCCACGGATGGAGACATACATCCTTCAGCATGGGTCTCACCTTGAGGAGGGCGGCGGCTGCCTGAAAGCTCATATGGGCAACCGAGATCCTTTTGCGGCGGGGCAGATGGGAGTAGCCAGAGCGGACGCTAGTGAAGGATGTGAGGGACAAGACCCCTGGAGTCAGAGGTGGGTGGGGAGCGTGAGGCCGGTCCACCTCATCTGGGTGGCGGAAGGCCCGTCCCCGGGCCAGCGGATCCACGATCTGCAAGAGACAGTGGGTGAGCAAGGTGCCCAGGCCCCGGGAGAGCTGCCCACTGCCCCTTACTTCCACGGAGCCCACCTTGGGCATCTTGCAGGGTTTCGGAGACTCAGTGCCCTGGAAGGAGGGCACCTCCTGGCTGGGCAGCTCCAGTTCCCTCTGGCACGAGGCCTTGAGCCTGCCATAGTGCACGCTGCAGTGGTGCAGGCTGCGACGCTGCCAGTTCTGTCGCTTGCCTTCCCAGTCGCCACTGACCCCGAACCACTGGGCTGTGCCCCTGTGAAAGATACGGAAGGGTGCAAACCTGTGCCCACACTTCGAGGGAGGGGGGTATGAGGGGTCCTGGTACACGTGTATGTGCAGGGAAGGTGGGGGGTGATGGTGCATGTGTGTGCACAGGGAGGTGGGGGGTGATGGTGCGTGTGTGTACACAGTGGTGGGTGATGGTGCATGTGTGTGCACAGGGAGGTGGGGGTGATGGTGCATGTGTGTGCACAGGGAGGTGGGGGTGATGGTGAATGAGTGCACAGGGAGGTGGGGGTGATGGTGCATGTGTGTGCACAGGGAGGTGGGGGTGATGGTGCGTGTGTGTGCACAGGGAGGTGGGGGTGATGGTGCGTGTGTGTGCACAGGGAGGTGGGGGTGATGGTGCATGTGTGTGCACAGGGAGGTGGGGGTGATGGTGCGTGTGTGTGCACAGGGAGGTGGGGGTGATGGTGCATGTGTGTGCACAGGGAGGTGGGGGTGATGGTGCATGTGTGTGCACAGGGAGGTGGGGGTGATGGTGCATGTGTGTGCACAGGGAGGTGGGGGTGATGGTGCATGTGTGTGCACAGGGAGGTGGGGGTGATGGTGCATGTGTGTGCACAGGGAGGTGGGGGTGATGGTGCATGTGTGTGCACAGGGAGGTGGGGGGTGATGGTGCGTGTGTGTGCACAGTGGTGGGTGATGGTGCATGTGTGTGCACGGGGGTAGGTGATGGTGCATGTGTGTGCACGGGGAGGTGAGGGATAAAAGTGCATGTGTTTAAAGGAGGCAGCATGGGGGATGACAGTATGTGTGTTCTGGGAAGGTGACAAGCGTCGTGTGGGTGTGTGTACACGGGGAAGGTGATGTGTAGGTTGAGGGTACATGTGTATGAGGTAACGGAGGTAATGGTTCACGAGTTTAGGGAAAGTGGCATAAGGGATGGTGGTGTGTGTGTGTGTGTGTGTGTGTGTGTGTGTGTGTGTGTGTGTGTAGGCGACCTGAGGGTGATGGCAGGTGTGCTTCTGTGTGTATAAGGTAACCACCTGCTGCACCGTATACCTTCAGGGTCCCGGGGATCGGCTTCCCTGAGCCCCTCAGTCCCAAGCTACAGCCCAGTGACCAGGCTTAGAGTGAAGGCTACATCCTGAGGAGAGGAACTGGGAGGCCCCTCTGCAGCATGCTGCGGCACTTCCTGTCAGGCTCACACCTGGGGCCAGGTTCCCCCATCCACGCCACCACATTAGATTGTGGCATCCACCTCCTCAGGGAGCTGTCTCTTACTGACTGTGTCTACTCCTTCTGGAAAGGGGACACGGGGCTCGCGCCCTGTGAGAGATCAGGTGCCCAGAAAGTGCAGGCTGCTGGGGTGTCCAGGTGGGGCCCAGGTGCTCACTTGCGGATGCTCTGGGACAGAGAGGCCTGGCGGCGGAAGCCAGGGCGTTTCTCTGTACCATCCTGCCATCGTCCTTGGGGTTCCTGGAGGCTGACACTCTTCAGGTAGGCTGGGTTCTTGGGCCTCTGCGGGGCAGTGAGGAGGACACGTGCTGAGCGCATAGCCCATTCAGCGCCTGCTGCTTTTGTGTCCCCATTCCCTCCTTTTTACTGCCGTGTTGGGACAGAACCCAGACCCTTCGACACGCCAGGCCACTTTAACACTAGACTACTGAGCTGCACCCGCTCCCTCCACAAGTCCTTCATTCTGAACTTAAAATGAACTTTTCCTAGTGTTTTCTAGCAAGGCCTGGGGATGTAGCTCAAGTTGGCAGAGTGCTTGCCTGGCATCCACAAGGCCCTGGGTTCAAGTCCCAGAACTATATGCACCAGGTAGTGAACACATGCAACCCCAGCACTCAGGAAGGAGAGGCCAAAAATCAGAAGTTCAAGGTAATTGTTGACTACATAGCAAGCTCGAGGCTAACCTGGGCTACATGGGCCTTGTCTCAAAAAAAGGAACAAAACACATCACGTTTTTCCAGTAAACCCCAGCAAATCCTCCCTAAACATGATCTGCCCATGATCTGGGATGGTCTTGCCTCTTTTCACGTGTCCTACAGAGCCCTCAGGGTGAGCAGGCAGCCCCAACATAGCTCCTCTTTATGTTTGAGGCTGTGTGCAAAGCCCACGCTATCTGGGGCCTGCTCTCAATGAGCTCTTTATGGGACAGGAGTCCAAATGGACAGAAACACTGACCCATCCCCCCCAAGAGCCAGGAGCTACAGGGGTGGGTTGCTGGCACTGTGGGACCCTGCACCCACACAGGCCACCACAGTTAGCCCACACCTCCTCAGAAGAGGCCAGTCAGGGCCAGAGAGGGGAAATGTAAACAACCAGAGCCCAAGCTTGCCAACAAGCCCTTTTCTCAAGGACAGTATCCCTTGTTCCTTGGCCACCAGGCAAAGGAGCTCCCAAAGTTTCAGAGTTCAAAGCCTCGCTCCCTACAATATTTCAGGCCCACATTGAGGCTGCTGGGCTGCCAGTGGACCATGATGGATGGGCGTGTCTAGGAAGTGACAACCACCCGGAAGGTGCTGCGCAGGTGGGCGCATCTGTTGCCTGTGGCTATGCCTCCAGCCTCTCACCTCAGGAAGCATGCTATCCTGCTCGCTGGGGGCCTGGGTCTCCGGTGGTGGGATAGTGATGGACAGGTTGGGTGGCTTCCGGCTCTGCAGGCGGCTACCAGACACAGAAGAGAGGTTGCTGCCATTCTTGTCAGCTGAGGCCATGGTGGACACGATGCTAGAAGAGAGATGGGGTGACAGTACAGGCATGTAGAGGTGGCAGGACTTGAGGGGGTTGGGGATCTCGGAACCAGGGAAGGCAGCCCAAGGCCAGCACCATGTGACCTCAGACCAAGCTCCAGAGAGATGCAGCCAGGCCACACCTGACTGGGTGGAGGAACTTGGGGTCAATTTCTGACTTTCATTTGCATTTTTGACTAGCAGGGGTGAGGAGAGCCTTGACCTACCGTAGTCCCTTTCTGGTCTCTCTGCTTTGGTGAGAACCAAACCATGAGAGGAGCAGAAAGATAAGGAGTGGGTGTGGTCAGAGCAAGTCGGGGCCAGAGGGTGGGCGTGGACAGAGGGCCCTTCCTCAGTCTCTGGGGGACTGTTCAACGGACAGGAACACTCTAGACAACCAAGCACGGCAAACTGCCAATTGGTGCTCTTGCTGCTGCTGGGCAGGCACCAGCTGCTGCCACCAGGGGTCAACTATGCAGGGCGGGTGCTTCTCCTGGGGATGCAGGCCTTGTTACGCACAGGAAGTGGTGGTTCTGCCTAATTCCCACCACCCAGGTCCCTGTCCCTCAAGGCGGCCTCCTCAGAGTTAAGTGAAAGCCTCTTATAGTGGTGCAAGCCTATAATCCCAGCTGCTTGGGGGGCCGAGGGAAGGAATATTACTTGGGCCCAGGAGTTCAAGGCCAGCCTCAGCAATATAACATGCCTCTGTGTACTTAGTACAAGCCTGTAATCCCAGTGCTTGGAAGACTGAGGAGGGAATACTGTGAGTTTGAGGGTGGCACGGACTAGGTCAGCTTGGGCTACATCTGTTAGAAAAAGAAAAGAGAAAGATAATTGAAATTGCTACTAGCCTGGTATTTCTCATTTTTTCCTTTCCTTTAAGAGAGGGTTTCATCCCAGGCTAGCCTTGGACTTGCTGTGTTTCTAACGGTGACTGTGAACTCCTTAATTCTCCTGCCTCTCCCTCCCACATGCTGGGATTACAGGCATGTGCTGCCATGTCTGGTATATGTAGTGTTATGAATCCAGCGCAGGGCTTCGTGCGTGCTAAGGCAAGCGCTCTCCCAAATGAGCCCCAGCCCCAGCCCTGGTATTTCTATTTTAACAATAAAGGTGATTCACACTCACTGAACAAAAAGACTGAGCATGGTAAAGCAGAAAGTGAGCTTAAGGCCGTCCCTCAGGGCAGCCTTTGAGCTCCAGCAAACAGCATGGCTTCTGAAACCCGCCCAGCTTCTCGGGTCTGGTGTGTACCCCTTCCCTTGGGAGCACACAGACCGACGTCTTTGCCTTCTTTGAGGACAGAAAAGCCCTCTCTAAGTGGAACATGCCAAGACTCAATTCCCGATGGATGGTTACACAGGATGTTTTGTTTAGTGTTGATCATACTGTGTGGGTGTGTAAAGTATTAAAGACAGCACTGGATACAGGAGGCTGGCCTGAAGAACAAGGGTGCTGAGAACTTCAACGGATCTGGACAGGTGGCCCCATAAAGAGGAGGTGGTTGTGCACCCTGTTAGGGAACTTTTCCCTGCTTGGACTGGGCCACTGAGCCCCATTCCCTTTTGATGGCTCCAAGATGAGGTACCCGCTGTCTGTTTCTGTCCCTGCAGCTCTAGGAAGCTCAGAAGGAGGCCACGGTGGGTGGGGGGCGGGGGGCAGTGCTTGACAGCCACCACATGGAGCCCCAATTTCCAGCTCTTGGTAGCTTTAAATTTTACTTTTTAATTTATTTATTTTATGTGTATGAGTGAGTGTTTTCCTTGCGTGTGCAGTAGTGCCCAATACATATGCCTGGTGCCTATGGAGGCCCGAAGAGGGCAGCGGATCCTCTGGAACTGGAGTCATGGATGTTGCAAGTCACAACATGGGTGCTGGGAATTACACCAGGTCCTCTAAGAACAAGTGCTCTTAACCGCTGAGCCATCTCTCAAGGCCCCTAGTTCTCTCCATCTATCCTTCTCCACAGCCTGCTCTCACCTGAAAGAGCTCACAAGTCTCCCCACCCTCCACCTGTTACCCTTAAGTCCCTTCCAATGGGACTAAAATCATGCCTATCTCTCTCTGCTCAGTTCCAAGATCCTGTTCTTCAAGGCCAAGCTCATCCATGTGGCCTCCAGGCTCCATGTGCTCCCCACCCCACCAGCTGTGTTGACTGTGGCACTCCGACCCCTCAGCTGGAGGTGGGTGCCCCCAGCTTGACCCACAAGTGGAGCTGGCTTGCCTCAGTGAGCATGCTGAAGGACTGCCACTCAGACTTTCACTTGCATAGCAAAGAGAAAAGCACATTCTCCCTAGAAGGGACCCCCTCAAAACATCCCTCAAGTGCTGTCCCCACACACTGTGCAGGAATGTCCCCAGCACTGCATTCACCAGAGCTGAAAGGTGACAACCACCTGGTGTCTGTCAATGGAGGGCTGGACAGACAGAAGGGTGCAGATTCATACAATGTCCTCATCTTAACACCTGCTCAACACAAAGAGGACTGACGTGCTGAGCCAGGCCATGACCTTGAGAGCATTATCTAAGTGATGATGTCCCTCTCAAAAGGCATAGTGGCACACATCTGTAATCCCAGCACTCAGGAGGCAGAGGCAGGAGGATTGTGATTTAGAGCCCAGGCTGCTGAGAAGGCTTGGGGTAAAGGCGCTCGCTTGCCATCAAACTGGACAATATGAGTCGGATCTCTAAAACCCACACTGGAAGGAGAGAATCGTCTCTTGTATAAGTTGCCCTTGACCTCCATAGGCACACTGTGGTATGTGTAGAACATAAACACACATACACACAAAATAAACAAACGTGGAAAATTTGAGAGTTGAAGACATAGTCGGGGCTACACAAAGAATTCAAGGGATTCAAACATGAGATTGTATTGGAAGAAAAGAGGAGAAGGAAAGAGAGAGACCAGAGAGATGGCTCAGTGGTTAAGAACACCGGCTGCTCTTCCAGAGGACCTGAGTTCAGTTCCCAGCACCACGTCAGATGGCTCACATTAGCCTGTAACTCCAGTTCCAGGCGATAGGATGCCTTCTGACTTCCACAGGCCCCTGCACACACAGAATACACACATGCACATCAATAAAAATAAGATTAAAAAAAAAAAACACCAGGGCATGGTGGTTCATATCTGTAATCCCAGCATTTGGGAGGCTGAGACAGGAGGACTGCTGTGAGTTCAAGGCTAGCCAGGGCTACATAGCAAAGTCCTGTCTCAAAATAAACAACATAAAAAGAAAAGCAAACAGAGCTGAAAGGTGACAACCACATCAGTCTTGTACGTGCAAGGTCCTGGGTTCCTCGGAAGCTGAGCTCTGCCTGCGCACATCACTATGATCCCTGACCATCACGTGGTAGAGAGGACCTTCTTGCTTAGCCTGAATGCCACTTACTCAGAGGCTCCCCCTTGGCCGCCTGAGCAGCCCCCAAGCCCCATCTCCTAGTGGTACCTGAGGCCACCACCAGGCCACCAGCTTCCTACCTTCAGGTATGTGAGGTCCCTGCTTCCTTTGCTTGGGAGGGCGTCTTACACCATGTTCCACTCCTTTCCTTGTTCTGTGGACGCTCCTGGGGTCGCGGTGGACAGATGGAGTGACAGACAGCTGTAGGTCAGGCAGGACAGCTGCCAACCTGTGAGAACAGGGGACAGGTTAGAGGGGGCAGGCCAACCTCCAAATCGTCCCATTTTCCTGACCTCACCCGTCTCCCACAGGAGGGGCAGGAGGAGACCCAGAGTGAGGGCCCTTCAGAGTGCTGATGCAGCCAAGGTCCATGTGGCCACTGAACTTGGGCTATTAACATACTACCACTCACAGACCAGGTCTGGCCCAGGGTTTGACTGGAGCCAGGCATCAAGATCTGCCCCTATTCTGTTTTTAATGTTACTTTAAAAAGATCTTTTGCTGGGTTGTGGTGGTGCACATCTTTGATCCCAGTACTCGGGAGGCAGAGCCAGGCAGACCTCTGTGAGTTCGAGGCCAGCCTGGCCTACAGAGAGATCCAGGGCAGGCACCAAAACTACATGGAGAAATCCTGTATTGAAAAACCAAAACAAACCAAACAAACCAAGAACAAAGGTCTTTTATCCTTTAGAGATAAGGTCTCAAGCGGTCTAGGCTGGCTTTGAACTTGCTGTGTAGCTGAGGATGACCTTGAACTCCTGATCATTCTGCTCTCGACCTCCTGAGTGCTGGGATCATAGGTGTGTGCCACTATTCCTAGCTCACTGGGACTGAAGAGACGGCTCAGCAGTTAAGAACACTCACTGGCTGTTATCTCAGAGACCCGGGTTCAATTCCCAGCACCCACATGGCAGCTCACAACTGTCTGTGACTCTAGTTCCAGGGGATCTGACACCTTCACACAGACATACATGGAGTCAAAACCTCCATGCAAATAAAAATAAGTAAATCTTAAAAATAAGCCGGGCGGTGGTGGCGCACGCCTTTAATCCCAGCACTCGGGAGGCAGAGCCAGGCGGATCTCTGTGAATTCGAGGCCAGCCTGGGCTACCAAGTGAGTTCCAGGAAAGGCGCAAAGCTACACAGAGAAACCCTGTCTCAAAAAACCAAAAAAAAAAAAATAATAATAATAAAATAAATAAATAAATAAATAAATATTCAATTCACAAGTCCAGGAATTGTTAGCTTTAAAAGAAAATTAATTTAATCTCTCTTTCCATTGTTGGTGCCAGGGACCAAACTCAGGACATCAGGCTTAAGTGGCAAACACTTTTGAAAACAATGTGTGTGGCTGTGTCTGCCTGCATGTATGCTATACACCACATGTGCGCCTGGTACCCACAGAGGCCAGAAGGCTTCGGATCCCCTGGAACTGGCGTTACAGATGACTGTGAGTCGCCATGTGGGTGCCGGGAATGGAACCACTGAGTCATTTCTCCAGCCCCAGTGGCATCTACCTAACCCTGTCTTCTGAGTAAGATCTACTTTCTGCGGTGGGGAGATGGGCTCCGTCCTGAGGTGCTGTCCATACAAGCATGGAGGCCTGAGCTGGGCGTGGGAGCACGGATTTGTAATCCCAGCCCTGGATCAATGGCGGCAAGAAGGATCCATGGGGCTGGTTGGGCAGCTGGCCTCACCGACTTGGCCGTGTCCCAAGGCAGTGAGGGACCTTGTCTAAAAACAAAGAAAGGTGTATGTCCCTGAGGAATGACACCCAAGGTTGTCCTTTTTGTCCTTTGGCAGGCACAGGCTCCTCACACCACACACACACACACACACACACACACACACACACACACACACACACACACAAAAAACAGGTCCGAGTCTGGGGCTAGGGACGACTTGATCGACACAGTGCTTGCCATTCAAGTGTGCAGAACCCAGGGAGAGCCAACAGCGGCAACACCCGTAATCCCAGCATGCCTCCTGCGAGACAGGAGGGGGAGGCGGAGGACTTTCAGAAGCCCGAGGGCCAGCTAGCCTGGTGTGCACACAGCGGACAACAGAGACCCTGTCCCAAACAAGGCAGACGGTAAGGACTGACACTGACGCTGCTTTCTGACCTCCACACGTGTGCCGTGACGGACACACCCTCATAAACACGCACACAGGCAAAGTAAAGGAAGGGGCCGAGGCTGGAGCTCAGAGGTATGGTGCCTGCCATACATATGCTGGAGGGCTTGGTTCCCGCCAACCCTACAAATAAAAACAGATTTATTTTCCATTAGTCAGCCTGATTGCTCAAGTGACGGGGACCTGTTCTGCTGTGTTTGTTTTTTTGATTAATTGATTGACATAAAATCCACACAACATAACATCAACTATTTGAAAGAGAATGCCGTGGTGCCTGTGTTTTAGAATGCCCTGTTCAGGCATATATCATAAGCAAGGCAGAGGAACACAGCGAGCCGTCCTCGGAGTAAGCCCCAGCAGCTACTGGCAAGTGCTACAGTGTCTGGGCAAGATCAGCACTGCATGTGCCAGGCCTGGCCCAGCCCTCCACATGCACTGTCCCTCAAAACATCTTCCAAGAGAGGCGCTATCATGCTTCTGATGTGTAGGTGGGCAACAGAGGCTCAGAGGGGTTGATTAACTTACTTAAGCTCACACAGCAGGGAAGAGGTACAGCTCAGACTCAAGTCAGCAGACAGTAGGTGTGAGGCCACCTTGGGAATCTGGCAACCTCTTTTCCAGGGTACACTTGGGGCTGGAAGACCCTTATCACGGGGCTGGGGAGTCATCTCTGGAGGTAGCCATGGTCTAGCATCCTAATGATTCTCAAAGCATGATTGGCAGAGGCCTGTGCTGCCCAGAGGCTACCACGGGTGAACTGGAAGGAGGGGCTGGTTTAGGCCCCTCTCTCATCCCACCTGCACGGCCTTCTATGCTTTGCCCTCTGTACTGAGGCCTGTAAAACTCTCCATATCACAGATGCAGAGCACTGGCTGTGTGTGTGGCGGGGGAGGCTTTGAAGAATTGAGGCAGAGCTGGCCAAGGACATTACTGCCTTTTTAAGCAAGACCAACAACCTCCGCTTTGGCTCCAACACCCCAAGGTGTCAGGAGTCCTGTCCCACAGTCCTCTGAGATCCCAGGTGGAAGACACTGGGGTTGGACTGGCAGACTCTGAGGAGCACTGGTTGTCACATGAGACACTGCTTGGGGATACCTCCAGGACAACAGCCTCACCTGGGGCCTCTACACAGAAGCTCCTCAACTTGGCAATCGCCTGGGACCAGAGTGCAGGGAGAGGGCATCGGGCGGGCATTACCCCGGTGGCACTGATGGGGAGGGGCAGGCAGCAAGAATGAGAGAGGTGGCGAAGATGGCCACCAGCAGAGAAGTGTCCGACTCTGAGGCTGCACCCTGGCAGCTTCACCTGTGGCTCTGGCTAACAGCAAGACCCTTCTGGAGTGAGGGGCTGAAGGCACCGCCTAGGAGTCAGCACTGTGACGACCCAGCCAGGCTGTGATGGTGTGAGTGAGGGCGGGCCCACAGGCTCGTGTTTGAATGCTTGGGTCCCAGCTGATGAACTGTTTGGGAGGGTTAGATGTGCCCTTGTTGAAGGAGGAGTGTGGCTGGAGTGGGCTTTGAGGTTTCAAAAGCCCACACCAGGTCCGGTTTCTCTTTCTCTGCCTGCTGCCAAGTTCTCTGCCATGATGAGCATGGACTACCCCCTGAAACTGTAGGCAAGCCCCCAATTAAATACCTTCTTCTATAAGCTGCCTTGGTCATGGTGTCTCTCCACAGCAACAGAACAATTCTAAAACACAGCTCTATTCCCCACACCTCCTCCAAGCTCCCACCTCCTGTATCCGAGGCCCTGCACCCACACGCCAGCTTCCACCTAGTCTACCTGGCCAGCCCCTACTGCTTCTCCCCCGGCCCCCACGTTAATATTTTTATTCATTATTTGGGGATTTCATACAATGCACCCCAATCATGCTCACTCCCCCTTCCTTCCAGGTCTGCCCTCCCTCCTTGTGCCCCCCTCCCCCAAATCCCACCAAGTCTAATTTCTGTTGCCCATATATTCATTGGAGCATGGTAAAACTCCCAGTGACCAGCCCACCCCTTAAAGAAACCTGAGTCCTTCCTCACCCCGCCCCCACTAGAAGGCATCAACTTTGAAGATTACACTTCAGCATCTTTATCAACTTTTTTTTTCTTTTTTGGTTTTTTGAGGGTTTCTCTGTGTAACCATGCTGGCTGTCTCTGTAGACCAGGCTGGCTTTGAACTCACAGAGATCCACCTGCCTCTACCTCCCAAGTGCTGGGATTAAAGGTGTGCGCCACCTCTACCTGGCAAAATTTATGTGGATTATAAAAGACTCTCTTCATGTCTAGACTGTTTTGTGGGGGTCGGGGGAGGGGTTGTCACAGAAGCCTTCCACGTCTGTCATTCTGTTGAGTCTGCAGCCATCGAAACCACTGCAGAAGAAGCTTCCGTGCCCACAGCAGCTGGTGGCAGCATGGATCACCAACTTCCACATGGTTTCCAGCAGGGGCAAGGATCACTGACATCAACGTGGTTTCCGGTGGCAACACGGACCACGGACACAACATGGCCTCCAGCAGCAGCACGAACCATGGAAGTCTTTTGAGGAGATTTAACCCAGAAAATGAGTCATTCATCTCGGATATCTTGCTGCTCAGAGTCAGGGTGATGGTGTGCACGGTTGGGCAGCATGTCCAGGGTCAGGACCCGTGTGAGCTCCGGGCTTCGGGACACCATGCTGCCCTCAGCGCCACGGTCCTGCCCGTCTCTGGGCACAGCCACCCTGTCCCCCCCTGATTCCTTTAGGAGTGTCACCCCCCGGAAGCCTGTCTGGTCACCACCCTGCTCTCAGCACCCCCAGGTCTGACAGCAGGAGTCTCCCCCTCTGTTCTCACACCCAGTCAGTCCCCATGGAGTCCCAGCTGGAGGAGTGGGTAGCGGGGTGGGAGTCTGTGCAGCTGGGGATAAGGTCAGTCTGCATGGACACTGGGCAGAGGCCATCTCTCAAACCCTGCAGCTGGCTCTGGAGGTCACTCACCTTGCCCCGTCCCACTGCAGGGCTTGGACGGAGGTTACTGGGTGCTGGCTGGGGGTGAAGCCCAGTGGCTCAGTTCCCCGGTTAGCCATAAGCACTCTTTTCCCTTCTGAGGAGCTGCCCTCAGACGCCAA